CAGACCTCTGCCGCCAGCGTACCGCAAGAACAACAACAGAAACAACAAGAGCAAGAACAACTACTACTACTACTGTTAATGCTGGACAACCAAAGGCGGTGATGAAGCATTTCGGTTCTGCTGCGGCTGCTAAGAGTTCGTCGAATATTGGGTTGCGTGTTGTGACCGCGGGTAATGGAGATTATTTTCCCTATGATAGAGATCCCACTGAAGAAGTTTATTGGTGTATGGGGAACAATGATGAGACAAATCCTAAAAAATATTGTGCTTCGTGGCGACAAATTAGTTTGACAGAGGAAGATGCTGCGAAAGCGAAAATAATAAAACCATCTCCCCCACAACCACAAGAACTTCAAGATAACTTGCAAAGCAGAACTGAACCTGACCCTCTTTCTGCACCTGCTTCCGACCTCAACATTGAACCTCACAGACCTTCTGATAAGCCAGAGTTACAAGCAACGTTAAGTGGATCAAGTACAACAATGAGGTCCAGTGGGGATACAGTTCAAAGTCACTCTTCATCCTCTTCCACGTCTGACAGTGATTCACGAAGCGACCCTATGGTAACCAACAGTGTGACGACTAGTTCGACAGTTGTCAATAAAGAAAAAAGTGGTCCTAAAACTAAAGAACACACAACTAAAGATTCTTTAGTTGTCGCCGACAACGTCACCTCGGATACTAATACCGAAACAGCAAGCACTCCACCTAATGTTAGTACTTCCCGTAACAATCCATCTCCTTCAGGTGTAACTGCCACAGACGGTTCACAGGAGAATGGCAATTCTGATTCAACCACCACCGCCACCACCACCACCACAACAACTACTACTACAACACTTCCTCCTGCCACCGCAGTCTCAGAAGGGAATGGCGATGCTTCTGCAGCCACCACCACCAACACTAATACTACCACAGAAGCACCAATCACCACCACTCCATCTCGTGTACCCAATGCAGAGATTAACACTATTCCTCCCAATATGCAGATGAAGGGTAATACTGACAGCAGTGTTAGTCCTGTGTGGATGCGCACTGCAGCACCGCTGTTGATTGTGACTGTATTGGTCTCCGCTACTGTGTACTGAACAGTGGGAATCATCTGAGGACAAATAATAATAATGGTTATTCTAATATAATCATATTTGCTTATATCCCCCATGGGTAAATAAACTAATAATCTGTTTACCAGCTTTCTCTTTTAATTGGAATATCTTTTTCTTTTACTTTTGTGTGTGTGTGTGTGTGTTCTTTTTCTAATAATTCCATTACTTGCTTTTTCCGTTCTGTGTTTGCAGAAAACTGGGCTGCTCTGCTCACTGACGGTATACATCTCTTGCTAGTACACACAGACGTGTGTGTGGAGTAATTTAATGTATAAACTAGAGCCGTGGAGTATTGTGTGTGTGTGTGTGTTCTTGGAGACTCTCTCTCTGTGTGTGCACTTGGGTTTGCACTGTGATAATGATGATGAACTGTTTTTTGCAGTGAAAGAAAAGAAATAATAATAATAACAGATAAATTTATATTTATAATTACGTATACATACACATATATAGACTTACACCCATAGTTGGTGTGTATTTCTGTGTTTACTGGGTAAATTGGGCTTATGGTTAATATCTGTTTTCTTGCTTGTTTGTTTTAGTGTTCGTGTGTCATTGTGTGCTTTTGCCCTGCACGGTTTTTGGTATTCTGCTTTATAAGAGCAAAGGAACAAATAGTAGTTAATACAATTTGTATTCGTAATTGCTTGAACAGACCACCATACCCAGTGGTCTGTAAGTTATTTTTGTGCAGTTGGTCCTGGTCTTAATTTGTGTTTTTTTTATTTTTTTTTTTTTTGCTTGGGCACTGTGTGCTTTCTCCTTCATTGTTGTATGTTAGAGTGCTTTGTGTGGAGAAAAAATAATAAAGAATACATATATATATTTGTAATTGTGCTTTGTACGACCGGAAGAGAGACACTGTTATTTATTTCTGTGCTTATTGCTCTTGTTGGTCGTTTTTATAAATTTTCTTTTTTAGGGGTTCATTGGGATTGTCTTTTGTTTACTGGGTGTTCTGTGCTTTGTTCCTTTTATTTGGGCTCCATCTGAGTGATGGTTAGCAATTTCTCTCATGTATGTGTGTTGCAATAGTTTTCCGTTGTTTGATGTTTATCCCATTATCTGTGTATCTGTTACTCCTTTCTTCCTTTTATTTTGGACCACTGAATATATATACAGTAACACCAACAAAAGAAGTAATGATGGCAATACGTCGTGCGCTTTGTGTTCTGACCATCGCACTCTGTTGTGTCTGCAGTGTTGTGGTAGCGGCAGAAGAAGAAGCTAAAGTGCAGCTTGGTGACGCGGCTCTTCAGACGACTGCTGCTGGTGCTGGTGGGAAGACAGTACCGGTGAGGGATGTGTTGGGAGATACACGATGTGAAACAGCAACGGATGGAGGGGATGTGGAAACCTGCAAAGCGCAAAGCCAGGTGGAGTCACCTCAAGCAGAAGGACAACAATCTTTGCTTGAATCTCCTTCCCATAGTCACGCCAGAGACGGAGAACTAACTCAAACGATGACAGAAAAAGAGAATCAAGTGAATGATTCAAAACAAAAGAGTGTCATGGAGGATAACAGTGAGTCTCTTGAGAAGGATAAGAAGCACGATACTCATGAAAAAGGATCTTTGCCAGAAAACCATGAAGGTGAATTGCAGCAGAAAGAAGTGCCAAATGAAACTTCAAACCCCTCTCTGATAGCTGTTGCTGCTACTCCTACTGTTACACCTACTGTTTCTTCTTCCTCTGAACCTCCTGTTGGACCTGGTGCTCCTACATCTACCACTGCCAAGGAGAATGATGATGCGGCTGCAGCTGAAGGTGAACGTGGCGAGAGCGGCAACAGCGCACAAGGTGGAAGAGGAGTAACACAACCATCTCCTCCAAGCAGTTCAGACACAGGGAGTTCCGGTGTTGCTGATGCTACGGCGACTGAGAATAATACTCCATCTACAGAGAGTGAATCATTAAACAACCAAGAAGGAGATAATGCGACTGCAGTACCTGATACAAACACCACCACCACCACAACAATAACAACAACACTTCCTCCTGAACTCACAAACAACAAGAAGGGTGATGCAGACAGCAGCAGCAGTATCAGCAGTTCTGTGTGGGTGCGTGTACCACTACTGATTGTGGTTACACTGGCCTGTATTCTTGTGTGCTGATTGTAATGGTGGTGGTGGTGGTGTGACTGAGGTCATCCTTTGTTTTCTTTTTCTTCTTTTTTGCATACATCCCTACAGTCTAACTAATCTTTCACCTGTTGGGATTATCTCTTTTTTTCTGTTTATTAATGTTAATGTGTTTTGTGTGTTTTTGATTTCTGTGTTTATCCTATAATTATTATTATTGCTACTCCATTGTGTGTGTGTGTGTGTGTTCTTGGAGACTCACTCTGTGTGTGCACCTGGGCTTGCACTGTAATGAGGATGAACTGTTTTTTGCAGTGAGAGGAAAAAAGAAATAATAATAATAACAGATGAATTTTTATTTATATTTGCGTGTATACTCACATATAGACTTACACCCATAGTTGGTATGTAATTCTGTGTTTACTGGGTACGATGTGCTAATTGAAACTTTCTTTTTATTTGCTTATGGTTTGCTGGGTCGTTATGGGCTTCTCCCTGAACCTTTTTGGTGTTGCTCTGCTGTGTGCAGGGTAAGGTAAAAGAGTAAAAGATATATCTATGCTCATGGTTGCGTATACCCTGCAAAGTGTATTCATAGAAACGTATTTGTGTGTTTTCTTATTCTGGTCATTCTGCTCTTATTCTTTTCTTTGCCTTTTATTGATTGGGACTTTCTTCATAATACTGGGTAGTATTTGTTATTTTCCTTCATTAGATTCCATCTAGGTGTTTTTTCTGGATTTGTCATTGATTACCTTTTCTTTAATTCTTATTTGTTTTTGTTTTGACTTTCTCTTTTTGTCTCCTTATTTCTACAGAAAAGTGAACTCAGAGTGTACTTTTAAGTTTTTTAACAGTGATGGTACACCGTGTGTTGTTTTTTCTCGCTTTGCTGTTGTGTGTTGAGTGTCTATGTATGGCAGCTGCAGAGGATCAAGCTGAACCTGAGAGTGTTTTCACTTGCCGAGACGGTGATGATAGTTGTGCTGCTCGTCTTCCTCCACCACCTCAACCTGTTTCCGCTGGTGTTGAAGCTTGTCCTCCAGGTCAGACTGGTACTCCGTGTATTCGTAGTGGAAGTGAACCTAAAGATGCCCGTAAGGATTGTGTGGAACCTCCATCTGGGGCGGAGAATTGCCCTTCCAATGTTGATGAAACTCGAGGGAATTGCGCTTCTGCTGAGACTAGTTGTAAAAACAGAGCACAAGACACGGCTCATGCTAACTCAAATGAAAATAGTGGAATTATTGGTAGCGAACGTCAAGGTCACAATGGTGAAAGTCGTCCTGTAACTGTCCAGGGTTCACATACTGATGCAGGACAAGAGGGTCGTGCTAACGTAACTGTTGCTGTTGATACTCCTGGTGAACCAGAAACTCGGGAAACTCAAAGTGTAAACGGTTCACAAGATGCTGCTTCTTCTCCCGCTGCGGTTACTGGCGGTTCTCCTGCCGCTGACGGTCAAACTGAAAGAAATGTGTTCAGTTCAACCGAAGAAGGTGGAGCTAAACAGGGAAGTGAAACAGCACAACCTTCTTCTTCTTCCAACAATTCAGACACAGGGAGTTCCGGTGTTGCTGATGCTACGGCGACTGAGAATAATACTCCATCTACAGAGAGTGAATCATTAAACAAACAAGAAGGAGATAATGCGACTGCAGTACCTGATACAAACACCACCACNCTCCTTCAGGGCTGAATCTTTTTACGATGGCCATAGAGGGTGGGGCAAGTAAGAATATGCTCCAGAGTATTTTTGCATATACTGTGGTTGAACTCGTGTGATGATATTCTCTAATGTGAACATTGAGGGGTTTTGCTTTCAAGAGGAGTGCAGAGTGACAATGAGGATATTGGACCTCTTATTATCTCTCTCTCTGTGGTATTATAAAGTTTTCATGGTAACTCTAATGAACTGGAATTTCTATGTTTGCCTGTGTTTTGTATTTACGTTGGGTATTGCTGGAATAATTCTGATTGGGATTTCCATCTCATGTTACATTCTTCAGATTTGGAGGATGAATAGTCTCATTAAGGACTGATAATGGTCCTGTTCTTGGTTTTTTACGTGGGTTTGTCAGTGGTGTATTGTTCTTTTTGTGTGAAATCTCTTTTTTGTGGTGTGTTCTCTTCCTTTTCTTTCTTTGTGGGTATCTTTATTGACGGTTTGTTTTTACTATGAATTTCTCTTCTTCTTTGGTTCTTTGGATAGTTCATTATACCCCAAGAACAAGAAGGCTAACTCCTGACATGATGTTGTCGCGCCGTTTCTTTTATCTTCTGGCTTTGCTG